ATGCATAGCAGTGGTCCCATGCAGTGGATGCTTAGTGAGGAGGAAAGGCGAGCACATGTACCAGAGGAAAAGGATACACTGCTATGGGCAAAAATGAGTGGATTATGAGTAACAGTGAAGGCTAGGAAGTGGTAAATGCTGGCTCAAGCACTGCAACATTGTGAGGATGAGATGCAAGCTTACATGGCATTTAAAGGCTCGGTGACTATATAAAAATGCACTGTACTTTGATTTGTTCCCATTGTCTGTTATGAGTTTTAAAAGTTTACTACCTTTTACTCTCCTTCACCCTGCAGAGTCAATAAAGCCACGAGAGAAAGATCGCCTCCTCTCTGGCTCACCACCAGAATTGGTAAAGCTGCAGGATCTTTAGTACTGGGGATGCTGCATAAGCCAGGAAGAACCCAGGTTGATTTTCATGCCCAAGGGTGCATCTGCAAAGCTGGCATTTAGAAAAGCTCTCTAAACTGAGCATATTTGTGCAGGACTTATGGAGAGAATGAATATGGAGTCATTGTGGATATTTCTCTGAAAACATCCACTCAATGTGCAGCGGGAGTCAAAAAAGCGAACAGAATGTTGGGAATCATTAAGGGGTAGATAGTAAGACAGAAAATATCATCTTGAATACTGCGTGCAGATGTGGTTGCCCCATCTCAAGAGAGATTTATCAGAATTGGAAAAGTTTCAGAAAATGGCAACAAAAATTATTAGGGGTATGAATGAACAACTGCTGTATGAGGAGAGATTAATAAGACTGGGATTTTTCAGCTTGGAAAAGAGACAACTAAGGGGCAATATGATAGAGGTTAATAAAATCATGACTGGTGTGGAGGAAGTACATAAGGAAGTGTTATTTACTCCTTCACATAAGAACTAAGGGTCACAAAATGAAATTAATAGGCAGCAGGTTTAAAACAAACAACAGGAAGTATTTATTTCCACAATGCACAGTCAACCTGTGGAACTCCTTGCCAGAGGATGTTGTGAAGGCCAAGACTATAACAGGATTCAAAAAAGAACTAGAGAAATTCATGGAGGATAGGTCCATCAATGGCTATTAGCCAGGTTGGGCAGGGATGGTGTTCCTAGCCCATTTGCCAGAAGGTGGGAATGGGCGACAGGGGATGGATCACTTGATGATCACCTGTTCTGTTCATTCTCTCTGGGGCACCTGGCATTGGCCACTGTCGGAAGACAGGATACTGGGCTAGATGGACCTTTGGTCTGACCTCAGTATGGCCGTTCTTACATTAATCTTATTTTACAGTGTACAACTGCACTATAAATTCTATTTAGGCATACCACAAACAAAAAACATCACATTTTAGGTCTGCCATTTCTCAACAAAACAAACATTTTATTTAAAAAGACGGCCGGGGTATTAAGCTTTTCTATTACTCACAAGTACGTTCTTTATCTATAATTTCCCATTCATGTGTCAAGACTCAGGATACTGCCATATTACTTATAACATTTAATACCTTTCTATAGTCCTGTTTTTTCTATTAAATTCCTCAAAGCCTTTTGATTAGTACAATAATGCCCTACTCTGTGGGGATTTCAGGCTTCTCAGCTGAAGTTTGTGGCTCACCAATAGTTCACAAAATGAAATATTCAGCAAACAATGCAGTGGCAGATAGAGAGTCTTCTTTCTCTGCCATATCCCCTAACAATGGTCCATAGAATGTAGTAGTTAAACACTGAGCTAATTAAGCAACAGAGGGTCCTGTGGCACCTTTAAGACTAACAGAAGTATTGGAGCATAAGCTTTCGTGGGTGAATGCCCACTTCATCAGATGCAATGATGAAGTGGGGCATT